AGGACTTATTGTCTGCATTAATATCAAAAATAGTTTGTAATAGAGACAGAGGATGCGGATGATATGAGTAAGTAAATAAGGATAAGGATTTTTTCTCTCTTTTTTTCTCTCTCTCTTTTTCCATTTTCTTTTTCTCTTTTTGTATCTTTCCTTCTGTCTCTTTCTTTCAATCTCTGTTTCTGCTTTTGTCTCTCTCTCTCTCTCTCCTTATCCGTCTCTTTCTCTCTCACTCTTTCTATTTCTCTTTCGCTTTCTATTTTACTTTTTTTTGCTCTCTCTCTCTCTGTCTTTCTGCCTCTCTCTCACTCTCACTCTCTCTCTCTCTCTTTTGTTTATCTCAATAACATCCGTCATCTAAACCATTCATTAATTCTATTTATTAATTATCTTTTTTTAAAGAACTCAAACAGCTTTTTTATAAATACTTCACAAATGCCAATATATTTTCTTCCTTTTTCTCCTGAAACGTCAATCGCTCGCTTTTGTTTTAATTTGTGTGTGTTTCATTCTATTATCATTATTATCTTTTTTTATTTTCTTATTTTTTACAGTCTTCCATTCCTCTGCCACCCACAGAGAGGCGCCCATGCGAACACCCGTGTTTGTGTTGTTGCAACGTGCATATCAATCTCAGGAATCCAGGTTCTCACACTGTGCAACACCCTTTTCTGCAACGTTCGTATTCTTCTTTTCCAAATGGGGAGAAGAGAAGAAAACAAATAAATAAAAGGGTAATAAAGGGGAATGCAAATAAAATGTTTTATATATTTTTTTCTTTCTTTCTTTCTGTTTTTCTTACTCTTTCTCTCTCTCTCTCTCTCTCTATCTATCTATCTATCTGCCTGTCTCTTTCTTTTGTCTTTCACCATTTCTCTCTCTCTCTCTTTTTCTTTCTTTTCTCTCTCTCTCTCTCTCTCTCTCTCTCTCTCTCTCTCTCTCTCTCTCTCTCTCTCTCTCTCTCTCTCTCCCTCTCTCTCTCTCTCTCTCTCTCTCCCTCCCTCCCTCTTCTCCCCCCTCTCTCTCTCTCTCTCTCCCTTCCTCTTCCTCTCTCTCTCTCCCTCCCTCCCTCTTTCTCCCCCCTCCCTCTCTCTCTCTCCCTTCCTCTTCCTCTCCCTCTCTCTTCCTCTCCCTCTCTCTTTCTCTCTCTCTCTCTCTCTCTCCCTCCCTCCCTCTTTCTCTCCCTCTCTCTCTCTCTCTCATCCACATCCTCCTCCTCCTCCTCTTCCTCCTCCTCATGAGTCAATAATGATCCATAATCGCTGCCTCTCTTTGCCACTTTTCGTCCCTGGCCAAAATATACCTCAACATTCACCTAATTCACCTCAGCGTGACAAATTAGGGGGAAAACTCGTAAAGATGGCGAAGGGGGGGTGGGGGATGGGGGTGGGGGGGGGTGAACTATGGAGTCATCATCAGGGAGTCATCGTGTTCATTATCGGTTCACGGCAGATCGACGGACCAGCTGTTCATCTTCATCAAGCAGCTGGATCTCTTTCGACGTCTCAATTTCGTAAGAGATGTATAGTGAGATTTTTTTTTTTTTGGGGGGGGGGAGGGGGCAATTTACGTCGCTGTTGGTGATGATGGTGAGGAGGAGGAGGAGGAGGAGGAGGGGGAGGAAGAGGGAGAGGGAGGAAAAGGGGGAGGAGGGGGAGATGGAGGAAAAGGGGGAGGAGGAGGAGGAGGAGGGGGAGGAGGAGGAGGAGGAGGATGAAGGGGGAGAGGGAGGAAAAGGGGGAGGAGGGGGAGATGGAGGAAAAGGGGGAGGAGGAGGAGGAGGAGGAGGAGGAGGAGGAAGGGGGAGAGGGAGGAAAAGGGGGGGGAGGAGGAGGAAAAGGGGGAGGAGGAGGAGGTAAAAGGGGAGGAGGAGGAGGAGGAGGGAGGAGAGAAGGAGGAAAAGGGGGAGGAGGAGGAGGTTAAAAGGGGAGGAGGATGAGGAGGAGGGGAGGAGAGAAGGAGGAAATAAGCGGGTGGAGGAGGGGAGGAGGAGGAGAAAAAGGGGGGAGGAGAAGGAGGAAGGGGGGAGGACGAGGAGGGAGGAAGAGGGGTAGGGAGGGGGAGGGGAGGTGGAGGAGGAGGAGTAAGAAGAGGAAGAGGAGGAGGAGGAGGAGGAGAAGGGGGAAGAAGGAGAGGAGGAGACGGAGGAGAAGAGAGGGAGGAGGCGGAGAAGGGGGTGGAGGAGGAGGAGGAAGGAGGAGGAGGAGGAAGGGGGGGGGAGAGGGAGGAAAAGGGGGGGCGGAGGAGAAAAGGGGGAGGAGGAGGAGGGTAAAAGGGGTGGAGGAGGAGGGGAGGGGAGGAGAGGAAGGAGGAAAAGGGGGAGGAGGAGGAGTAAAGGGGAGGAAGTGAGGAGGAGGAGGGGGGAGAGGAAGGAGGAAAAGGGGGTGGAGGAGGGGAGGAGGAGGAGGAAAAGGGGGAGGAGAAGGAGGAAGGGAGGAGGACGAGGAGGGGAGGAAGAGGGGGAGGAGGGGGAGGGGAGGTGGAGGAGGAGGAGTAAGAAGAGGAAGAGGAGGAGGAGGAGGAGGAGAAGGGGGAGAAGGAGAGGAGGAGAAGGAGGAAGAAGAAGAGGAGGAGGAGGAGAAGGGGGAGGAGGAGGAGGGAAGGAGAGGAGGAGAAGGAGGGGGAGGAAGAGGAGGAGGAAGATGATGATGATGATGATGATGATGATGATGATGATGATAATGATGAAGATGAAGATGAAGATGAGGATGAGGATGATAATAATAATAATAATGACGATGACATTACGACCTGTTTAATAGCCCCCGTCTGTGGGTGGGTGGGCGAGAGGAGAGAGAAAATGATGAAGTACCAAGTTCGGAAAGACAATTTTAGCAAGATGAAAATCCTAACCCTCCCTCCTCCCCCTCCGTCCCCCTCCCACCCCCCTTCCCGACCCCTCCTCCCCTCTTTCTGCTCACAGACATGCTCTCTCTCTCTCTCTGTCTGTCTATCTCCTCTCTCTCTCTTTCTATCAATCTATCTATCTCCTCTCTCTCTCAATCTATCTATCTATCCTCTCACTCTCTCTCTCTCTCTCTCTCTCTCTCTCTCTCTCTCTCTCTCTCTCTATATATATATATATATATATATATATATATATATATATATATATATATATATATACATATATAAATCGATCTTTCTTTCCCTCTCTATCCATCTATCTATCTCTCAGTTTCTTTCTTCCTTTCTCTCTCTCTCTCTCTATCTATCTATCTATTTATCTCTCTCTCTCTCTCTATCTACCTCTCTCTATCTACCTCTCACATTTTTTAATTCATCAGAAATCAAGATGATTCACAGGCGTCACGTGACACCCCCCCTCCACCCACCCTTTTTTTGAACTAGCCAATCAGAAGCCTTTTTAACCGACTGAAATTTATGGTGGAAACGCAAGGAACTTCAAAACTAACTAGTAGTAACAGATTAAAAAAAAAAAAATGTAAATGGTTCGGTGAGTTTGGCTGTCCAGACGAATGATTTTCGCGTGTGTGTGTGTTTGTGTATGTGTGTGTGTGTGTATATGTATGTGTGTGTGTGTATGCTTCCGTATGTTCACATTAATCTTTTATTTCTTTTCCCCAATAGAATAAACAAAACAAACATCAAATCACACCTCTCCAAAGACAAATAAATGAAAAAAAGTAATAAATAAATAAAACCTTTAATATTCGATACATCTCTTTAACGCACCACAAGGGAAAAGAAGAGTTCCTCTGAAGGGCAGCTGTTGGAAGCCGAAACGCGCCGTTAACATGGGCATAATAGCGAGGAGGACTGCCTCATCTTCTTAAGCTTACTTCATCTGTCTCTACGCGGCTTCCGGCAGGGGAGACGAGGGCGGCAGGGGAACGGCGTTAATTTTTTTTAAAGTTCGGAGGGCAAGGGGGTTGGTGAGGTGGCAGGGGGGGAGGGGGAGGCTGGGGCGGCAGGGGGCGGCGTTCATTCAAAAAGGTACGGAGGGCCAGGGGATTGGTGAGGGTGACAGGGGTGGTGGTGGGGGGGAAGGAGCGGCACAGGGGCGGCAGGGGGCGGCGTTAATTCAAAAAGGTACGGAGGGCAAGGGGGTGGTGAGGTGGCAGGTGGGGGGAAGGGGTGGGCAGTAGCGGCAGGGGCGGCACGGGGGCGGCAGGGGAGCGACAGGGGGGTGGCAAGGGGACGGCAGGGGTGCGGCACGGGGGCGGCAGGGGGCGGCGTTAGTTCAAAAACAGTACGGAGGGCAAGGGGGTGATGAGGTGGCAGGGGAGGGGGCCAGGAGCGGCACGGGGGCGGCTGCAGGGACTGCAGGGGCGCTGTGGACGGGAAGGGGCCAGCACCATGGGTGATGAGAGCGGCAGGGGCGGTGTGGGCGGCAGGGGCGGTAGGGGAGCGGCACGGAGACGATACGACGGCGGCAGAGGTAGCAGGGAGTCACAAAAAAAAAAAAAAAAATCACAATAATGATGATGATAATAATAATAATAATAATAATAATAATAATAATAATAATAATAATAATAATAATAATAATAATAATAATAATAATAATAATAATAATAATAATAGTAGTATTAGTAATAATAGTAAAAATAACAATAATAATAATAGTAGTATTCGTAGTAATAGTAAAAATAACAATAATAATAATAGTAGTATTCGTAGTAATAGTAAAAATAACATAATAATAATAATAATAATAATAATAATAATAATAATAATAATCATAATCATGATAATGATAATAATGATGATAATAATGACAATAATAATAATAGTAGTATTCGTAGTAATAGTAAAAATAACAATAATAATAATAATAATAGTAATAATAATAGCATCATTATTATTATTATGATTATTACTATTACTACTAACAATAATAAAGATGACAATAATAATGACAATAATATAATAACGATACTACACTACTACTACTACTACTACTACTATTGATTATTATTATTATTATTATTATTATTACGATAATGACAGTTAAACTAGATCTAACCAAGGGCCTCCAT